ACTATTTTACATTCTTTCTTTGTTTAAGTATTGGTTTCTTTTAGAAACACAAACTAAATTTAAAAAAACAAGAAAAAATTACTAATTCACAATTTATGTTTAAGTTTAATAATTTGTTTACAGTATTTTCTCTTCGAAACCTAGTTTTTTCTTTTATTCATTTTTTAGATGTGTTTAAAACAAAGATTCACATTTACCCCAAAATAAAAAAATATCTTTTTTGAAAGTCAAATGAGCTGTACATAACTGATTTAATGTGTGATAAGTTCTGTATACTTACTCAGTTATTTAATTACGTTTTGTTTGCTTTTATTACCGCCGTATAAGCTCCAACTAAAAAGGAAAAATAACGTTTCTAATTGAATTTTATAATAACAAGCGAAGGAGTTTTAATTAGGTTATTGTTTCGTTTCTCATGAAACATACAGCTGTTTGATACCTAACGATTTTTGATAAAATCTTCCTTCCATCACTTTTTATTCTTTTTTTTTCTAATAAGTAATGTCCTCTAACCACCTGTTTGTATTTAAATTTATTCAAAGTAAGTGATATGTTTTTCGCGTGATCCAGGTAAAAATCTAATAAGTACACGTTTTATATGTAAATATCAACCGGTCCGTGGTGTTCCGGTGTACACGTTTTGAATTTTATTTTAAGAATAATTCAGAGGCTTATGCTTCCGCCCTTAAAAGAGGAAAATAAATATTACAACCGTGCGTTTTAATTATCCATAGAGAGTACGCGAGTTCATTTTGGATGATATTAGCCTTGGTTAAAACCCATAATGACAAGACAAATAAGAAAAGCGCTGCTCCAGGAGCCTTTTTCTGTTTACTTTTATTCGAGCAAAGTATACAGAAAACACAAAGTAACTGCTTTTGTTCCACGTGGACAATAAAAGACTAATTAAAATAAGAACCTTGTTATAATTGACAGTTGAGTGTAATTAAGAATACTTTTGATAATAATTTAATTAGATTTCGAGAGGCGGTTTTGGTGTGTTCAGTCCGCAGTCGGATAAATCACTTTACTATTTTCGATTATTAAACTAATTCCTTCATAATTAACAGTTCAAAGCTGTGCAATTAGCATTTTGTTTAGGGAAGCTTATTAAATGGGTAATAAAATGTAAAATTCGGTCGATAACAATGATTCCGGGCGGATCAGCGAAGCCCGTGGCTAAATCCATCGATTTTTAAATAAATAACTGCCAGGGATTGGAATACAATTGGTTTATGAACATTTTGCATCATAAATGACTTTTTTTTCTCCCAAATTCGCGTCCTAATAATTCTAGAGTGCTAAGTACTATTTAGTGTTACTAAATTGTGAAAAATTTTACCTCGTTGGGAAAACAGATCAAGTGGAGACTTATTAAAATAGCCTCAGGTTAATGTGACACAGATTTTTGCGTATCCATTTTTATACTCGAAATTGTGACGCAGATACCTGCGCATAATTAATACTTTTCAACGAAAATAAATTTGAATTCTTGCGTGACACTTCATCGTATGTTTTTCGGATTTGTCAATGTGATTTACTTCTAACTGTCTGGAACAAAGCTTTTCTGATGTGTGCTTGATGACTTATTAATGCGACGGAAACGGACTACGAGGTTGTTATTTATTTATCGGATGGTATTGTTCGAAGAATTTCGTCCACTTTTTAATTTATTTAGTTTATTTAATGATCAAATGTGTAGAATTAGAATTGATTATAACTTTGGTCTTTTGTAAGGTTCTTAAATTAAACAGTCCACTTCCAGTTTGTCATAATTTCTGGTTAGTTAATTTTTTGAAAAAAAATTTTTTGTGTGTCATGCGCCCATTATAGAACACCTAGAAAATCAATAACGTGTCACAATTGAAACAATTTACCAATGGTAGTTTTGTACATTGCGTAGATTTTCCAGGTTTAAAAAATTGATAGAATCTTGTTATAGGAGTATATTTAACATGCAACAAAGAAAATTAAAAAAAAATAATATTAAAAATATGTTAGGTATTTAGCATTTATAAAATTCTCATTTTTTTAAATAATAATGGACTATTTTTGTAAAAACAAAAAATTGTTATAATTAAAAAACAATATGTTTAAAACTATTAGTAGGTAATCCAAAAAGTACAATTAATAATACAAGTGGCCCATTTCAAAACTATCTATTACCGATTTTGTAATGTAAAAATACTTAAAAGAAATGTCTAGACTTATAATTTTTAACTTTTTACTTACAATTTGTGTATTCAGTCAATATTTTGCTAAAATAAATTTTTCACTCAAAATTGTTAAAATTTTGGCAATAGTGTAGGTGGTAAATTTTACTACGAAATTTTCTTTTATTGAAAAACTCAAAGAAGTCATGGAGTTTCAGAGCATTTATCAGTTATTATAAATAAAATTAAAATTAATTGCAAAATTATTTTTTGGGTTATTTAATTTAATACAGAAAGAAGATTGTTACTCGAAAAATAAGATATTGATAAATATTGGTCTTGGGATAATGAAACTTCCTAATACTCCACCATATAAATATTTATAAATTTTTATTTAAGTAAAGTAGTTTTATTGTACGTTTTATTTCTGTTAATAACAGAGAAAAAGCTAACTTTAGATTGTAGTGTCATTAAATATTGTATACACAGGCTGTATTATGAAAAACGCCCCAAGCCATAAGTCCACTATTTTTAAAGTAATGACAATACTTCTTAGAACAAAGTTGAACATTTTCTGTCATCTATCGTTTGAGGTTAATGAATTAATCTGAACTTTCTATCTGCCAACATACTCTTAATTAATCGAACAATTTGTTTGCAGGGTACGGTTTTACATAGTTTGTGAATTAAACCTTCTTTCAAAATATATACAGGCTGTATTATGAAAAACTCACCAAGCCACAACTCCATTATTTTTAAAGTTATGACAATATTTCTCAGAACAAAGTTAAACATTTTTGTCATCTATCGTTTGAGATAGATGCTAAATTAATGTTGTTTTCTGTTTCCCGGAAGTAGGTAACATCAACTTTATTTTTTTAAATAGAACACCCTATATACTTTACCACTTTTACATTGTTTGTTTAATTGTCTTTTAAAAGTTTTAGTATCATTTGCCTAAAACCAACCGTTAGTAAGATTAATGTATTTATTAAAGTAGGCAGTGGAAAACAATAACATCAAGTAATGTTAACAAATATTAATACTTTACATTTTCTCTTACTGTTTTTATACTTTTTGGTGTTAATCATAGCTGGTAATGTGTTAACATCCTCGAGTTTTTTTATGTCGCTTTGATTTTCGACGATTTGAAACTTCTCTCATCAAAAATCGCTCAGTATAAAGTCGTAGTGCTCTCCCACTATTTTTATTTCATTCAAAATATTCTTAAATCATGTCTGTTAATACATTATCATCCATAATTAACACCAAAAAGTATAAAAACAGTAAGAGAAAATATAAAGTAATAATACTATTTGTCAACATTAGGTACTTGATATTATTGTTTGCCTACTTTAATAAATATTTGGCTCATATCTCACAAACGGTTAGTTTTAGGCATATGGTACTAAAACCTATTAAAAGGCAGTTAAACAAAAAAACTTAAAAGTGGTAAAATATACAGAGTATTCCATTTAACAAAATAAAGTTGATATCACTTCCAGTGAAACAGAAAACAGCATTAATTTAACATCTATCCCAAATGATAGATGACAAAAAATGTTTAACTTTGTTCTAAAAAGTATTGGCTTAACTTTAAAAATAATGGAGTTATGGCTTGGGGCGTTTTTCATAATACAGCCTGTATAAATATAAATAAATATAAATATTGTAAGAGACGTTAAAAAATAACTAAAAGAAATAGAAAATTGTCTAAAAACAAAAAAAAAAACATAACACGTAATTTATTTTTTTTGTCATAAATTTTATTATAACTATTCATTTTATTAAGCACAATTTCATAGAAAACTCCAAATATTCCCCAAACAAGCACAGGTCCGGTTCGCCGCCATGCAACAGTTCGCCCTCGACAATCACAACACTATCACCATCCTCGATCTCTTATCAAAAAACGTAATAACTCCATTTCGTAAACTATCATTATCGCCGATTGTAATTTACTGAATAAAATATGGGGCTGGATACTATTAACGTTTTTAGAAAATGACCGTTTTAAACGAGTTTGCTTAGTTTATTTTCAGTAAAACGACGTTGTATGCTTTGAAGGAAATATACGAACGGTGATAAATCTTACCTCGCATTGCAGCCAACACAGTTTTATGACTAACTGGAATTTTAACAACAACGCAAATCGATTTCATACACCACTCTGATGGCCTGGATTAAATCCTTTTTATTTATGGGGGCTGATCCAAGACCTCAAAACTCACTAACCTGATGATTTTTGGTAAAAATATAATTATCGGTAATAAAAATTATTAATACACCTAGCAAATGTAAAATTGTAACGGTGCATTTCTAGAGTCGCTGAGTATATCGATCTTTATTGTAGCAATAATGCACCGATAAATAATGTGCAGCCATCTGAAATTGAAGTGATAATTTACTCACAAAAGAGAAATGAAAGCAATTAGTTTAACTATAAAGCATTTTTTAGCCAGAATTAAATTTTTAACTGCTTCAATTTGTTATATTTTTAATGTTTCCCTAGCATATTTTGTTGAGTTTTCAGGAAAGTTCTATAACTTTGTATTTTTAAGTTTAAAACCGTAAAGGCTATTTTTCAGTAATATTTCAGCTCGACAAAGAATCAAATAAAATTGTTTTGCGAGAGTCGTATTTAATTTGAAAAGGAATTTTTATTTGTTCGCATTCTTAAACTAATATTACAGCGATTTCTGCATATTTTTCGATTTTGATGTTTTTAAGGAAATAAGAATAGAGTTTGAAAGTTTGCGAATTTCTTATATTATCAGTTTTATTTTCGTGAAAACACTGTCACGAAATAATTTCTGAAGACAGATGAAACGGTTTTCCTCAACTCACCTTTATGCAGAAACTCGGCAATCGCCTGTCACTTCACAGAAAAAGCACCCAAATATCCACAATGTGTCACTTTGCGAGACGATTGAAGGGCCGGCGATCGCGGCGCGGCGTCGGTCAAGATCGACGCTTTGCGGCAAACTGAAGAAAGCGGCGTCGCGACGCCGGTTGTAAACATTAGCGCATCGCGACGCCGAATACGGCCGATTTCAGTCGGTATTTTTCGCAGCGTACTTCATCAAGTTACGTGAAAACGGCTTGGGAATTCTGTTGAATTCGGTGCCCTTTCGTATAAATCCTAGGTGAAAAATCTGTTGTCCTACAAATCGAATTTCCATTGATATCAATAAATTTTCACGAGGTTGGCAGGATAAGTGCTACGACTTGACGTATTTATGCAAGGATGCGTCGGGGAAAAACATAAGAATTGATGGAAGAAAACACACGAAATTTCGGACGAAAAATGTGAAAATTGATCGCGAAAGAAAAATCAAACAATTCAATAAAAACTTGAAAAATAAATCTACTAAAATTATAGTTCAGGCTAAAGTCCTTGTGTGCTCCAGAATACATCTAAATTTCGTAAGAAAAACCATCAAATTAAATTTAAAAATCGCTATTTTTATCAAAATTTACAATGTCTGTTTCAAATTACAATGTGGTAGAAACAAAAGTCACTTTATGAAACATTCTATTACTCAGTAGCTATAATCAAATAATCAACCAGATAAATTTTTACATTGTCTCTTTCATAGCAATTTGAAACAGATACGAAATTGTTTCAATTATAAAAAGTGCAGTTGCTTGATTTAGGAAATGATCAAAAAATTGGTGAATATACTATTTCCCAAATTTTTAGTTTTGACCAAAAAAAGTCTTATCCACTTCTACCTCTTTCATACTTTTTTAATCGATATTTTATTTCAACTTTAACCTTTTAGTATTTTCCGATTGTCTGATAATTAAGCGAAAAAGTGCAACAGGTATGAAATATGCCCCACTATATCATCTGGAAAAATGTAAAATAGTCGTATAAAATCGGAAAATTGTAATTAAAATAAGTGCACAGCTCGTTTCATAAATTATTTAAAAATTACGGAAAGTAATATCAGTAATGGGAGATCGCGCTGACATGCGTAAAATATTTACGAGCCGATACAACTGTTTGCACTCGAAATTGATATTTTTTGTATGTTAAATAATCTCGTTAGTATTTGAGGAAAATCTTAACGTTTCTTAATCTAATCACGTCCGATGCTCAGACGTTAGTCGATATCTTTAAATGAATTAATTATTCCGTTGTTCCGGCAAATTATTCCATTTGTTTCATTAACAGTCTCCTCAGATTTGCTCTTTTTTAAACATTGAGATGGTTTTGTGGTGCTATTTCTATTTAGGGAAACGGATTCGATTAGTTTTGTTGTGTTTTAACAAATACAAATAAAATTAAAAATTAAAAATCCAACCTAAGATAAAGAAAATTTTTATTTATTTCTTTTTTTATTTTTATTATACAGGGTGAATTATAAGCTTTTTTAGATGACAATAAACTGTGCAACTTTGTTCCAAAAAGCATTGTCATACTTATCTTTAAAAATAATGGAGTTATGCTTGGGGCGCTTTTCATAATCCAGCCTGTGTAGGAATGTCATGTTTTGTTTGTCTACATATACACAATTGACTATTACACTTTATGTACATATTTTAAAGCTCTTATATGATATTTTTTTTAAATTATTTGAATTTGAATTATAGTCCCGAAAAGCGGGACCTTATGCCGCTACGCTACCACGCCCCCGCCCAGTATCTCTGCTTTAATCTAATATAATCAATTATACACTAAAATTTTTCAAAAAATAATTTTTGCTGTTTCTACAAGTTTTCTGACTCTTTTAGACCCCTAACGAATGTAGAATGTAATTTTTATTAGGATATCAAAAATGGTTCCGCCCAGGATCGAACTGAGGACCTTCTGCGTGTAAAGCAGACGTGATAACCGCTACACTACGGAACCGTTGGTGAAAGGAAAACATATCAGATAATCGACCCAAATTTTATAACAATTATCACTACCTGCCATAAATAACATAACACGTAAGTATCTAAATAGCCACAGTTAAATGGTGTCAAAATAATAAAAAACAACTTTATTAAAAAGCAGGTTTAATTAAAATATCAGAAATATTTAATGCAGCTTTACGATACTTTGAGAAAAAACATCATATTTTGTAGTAAAATATTCATCATTTAAAAAGTGCGATAAATTCTCTACATTTAGCTTCAAAGCTTTATTTAACTGAACACTGTCATAATCGAAATTAACCATCTTTCACGCTCTAATAAAAACTGATAGCCAAAGTATTAAAACTAGTATGTAGAAAGTTTTAACCACAACAGTATAACATCTGATAGACAGTCAGTTTTTCCATTTAATCTTGAACCGGATAAACATGAAATGAAATTTTCCACGTGTTTTCCAGACACTATAAATTAACAAAGTTTTGAGCAAACTCGCTGTTAGTTCATGAATTTAAACAATTACGGTCGCAGCTGTGAAAAATACCGCCAAACTTTCGGACAAATTGCCATTATTATGAAGAGAAGTCGATCATCCGGTTTTGCAAACAACTGTCGCCGTCGATCTGGTTTTTCTCCCGGAAAAGTGTAGTGAGAAATCAAATGTGTTTTCTGTGTTGAATTAATTTAATGCACGCGCAATAAATAAAAACTTGGAATAATTTCGCTCTGGCATAACTCACGAGAGGTTGAAAAGGGCCATGAATATTAAAAATAGGTGCACACTGTAACAAGCAATAAATCACTATAATCATATTTTGCGAAAATCTTGCAAGAATTGTGCTTTTTTATTCAGAAGCTTCGCTGTTTGCCTTGAAATTGTTTCTTTACTTTGAATTAAAAGTAAATAAACATAATTATTTCTTGTCTGTTTATTACGCGTTTATTGGTAGATAGTAAAATTGGCTGCTGTTACCTGTTGAGTAATAATTTTCCGATTTACGGCCGATTTTTACATCGTTTCTAATAAAATGGAATATAATGTGTTATTATGGTTATGTTCAACTATAATATCATTATTGCATAATTAATTTGACCATTTCGGCACTAGCGAATAACAACGACAATAATGGCTTACAACTAATATTGTGTTACCTAATTAATTATCAGTTTGTGATGCAAAATATGAACATCTGGAACAAAAGAGATTTATAATGTTGGACTTCCCCAATGAATATCGGTTGCTATTATTCAATATTTTTCAATACCGTCGAAATGTAGTAAGTGCTAAAACTATTCAATTATTTCTATATGAACTAAAATAATTAGGAAAAAAACAGAAAACCCATTTTTTTAAATATTTTTCAAAGTAAGTCAAATATTTTTGCACCCAATATACAGACTGATTCAAAAGTGTCGGGCCAACTCTCGAATATGAGAAGTTGCATATTATCATGTGGGCACCTTACCTCTTTTGCTTCTGATGTTGTCGGATTCAATTTGTTGTTGAATTTCCTAGTTTATTAAATGTTTTCTTTGTTTTTCAATAGGTATCTGCCACCCTCATAACCTTTTAATATTACCAAATCTACCGTTAATTCCGCTTACTAAATTCAAAAATACATAATCTGAACGAGCAAAAACGTAACCCAAAGATCTGAACTTTGAGTTACATCTGGTGAAAAAGGCTTAAATTTTGTTTTGTCATGGGCACTTTTAACTTGCATGTTCTTTAAACCACGCAAGAGATGGCCCAAAACTTTGGAATCACCCTGTGTATAGAGTCGTTTAAAAATTCGGGTAATAGTACAAGAAGCATAAGAAAAATGTTAAAAATTATTTGTAACAATGTTTTGTTTTTCTTTTATTTTTTTGGTATTTAAAGTGTAAAATGTACTATTGCGGACAAAATACTTTGGACGCCAATGTCACTTGAGTGACATAAAGTTGTAAAGCAAGGATGGTTAACCTTATTTTTTACTACTGTCAACCCTTTTCAAAATTTAAAATTGTTAAAACGTTCTTCGTCACTTGTTGATAACATTTAATAGAGGGTTTTTGCAAATCGTTTAGTGTCGTGTGTACGTCTTTCAAGGGCGAAAGGCGTATTCCGTCAATTCTAATCGTCTTATTTTTTTTATTTCTTACCAATCATTTGTCGTAATACGTTAAACTTTTTAACGATTTGCAAAAACTCTCTATTATAACAGTACTTTTTGTTGCACACAATTTTTCTGCAATTTGGGCCATGGACAATCCCACAGAAGCAAGACACACAATTATAAATATTTGAATGGTGAAAGGTGCCATATTTTCGACAAGAGAAAAGTCAGTAATTTGAATTTGTTATTAATGTTGACTCGACAGTAATGCTTAGTTTCCCTTTGTAGCAACAGAAAAATGATGACCAAAGGATTTTGTCGGCAATAGTACCAAGTAGTCGATTGACGATTTTTATTTTCTAGTATTTAACCTTTAGATAACCATGCGGGGTCTTTCAATGACTCCGTCTCTACGTTTTTTTTTGCATATTTTTTTATTTGGACTTGTTAACAAGGCAGTATTTGTTATTTAATGTCTTTTGCAGGACAAGATAGAATTCTGCCAAAAAATTAGTAGTTTTTAGCGTTGTAGCGAATGATAAAGTTAACTGGGGTCGGGTAGGGACGCTCCAAAGGTGTTGGAGTGACCAATTATTTATTTCAATCTTTCCGTCTTTTATTGAAATTTTTCTTTAAAAAAATGTATCGACGAGAACCAAAAAGATCACTGCTACAATATGAACTCGAAGAAATAGCAGCGAATTTAAATATTGATTCAGTAACCTACTAGGTATATTGATAATGCCATCACTGACGCAATTAGCAGATTATCTTGCTAGAATTTGAAATATAGAGAAAAGGTTCAATATCATAAAAAACATAATAAAACAGCTTTCCGAAATGGATGAATAAAAGTGTACTCTTTCAAACAACATCAGGCTAAACCAGACAGGAAACTTGGTAGGCAATTGAAAAAAAATCACATCATGCGACCAATGCAACAAATGCAACAAAAGCGACAAGTTATAACGTGTTCCAACTACTTATCAGTATAAATTTTTATACCCAAAAATTATTT